GCTCACACAAAGCAGGTTTGTTATAAATGGTAGCAGCAATAGCAAAGACTTTGATAAAGGGCTTAATGGCTATGCTGGCGTAAAAATAGATTAGCTCTATCTGTGCCTAATGGCAGCCGTTGGTGCCTTTCAAAACGCACACATACACGTTCTTGCCTTTATTGTTTTTTTCACTTAAGTATAAAGTCATACCCTTCAGAAATCAGGTCACCTTTTTTTAGACCAAATGATTAAAGGCCAAGCTATACAAAACCTCAAACTGTAAAATCTGTTCAGCTTACTCAAGTACACTGGACAAACTTTTTTTTGTTGTTGTTTTATTTTTGGTTTTTTAAAAAAATTTTTAAAGGACAGTGAAGAGGTCGTCTCGGTGCGACTTTTGTGTTGACTTTAAAGAGTTTAAAACTGTTGATGTTATCTGTTTGTTAGTGTGCATGCTCTGACATGCATTTGCAACATCAGTAGTGCAATGATATTGGGCATGATATTGGGGAAAAACTAACACAGTTTACATTATATATATTGTGCAATATAATAATGAAAAAAAGTTGAAAAATCACTTTCACTCTGAAGACATTTTTGCGTGTGAACCATCCTTTTAGGGCTGAAAATTTAGGGAAAAACTTGATAGATTTGGGTGTTCACACTTGGGTTTACTCTTTACAAGAACCAACTCAAACCTCTATCAGCAATCATAAAGTCTTTTCACTTTTCAAAGTCAATATTTCCACAGTTTTTGCCCCATTTAATATAATTATTTTTAATAAAATTGAATTTGTATTCAATTTAATTTAATACAAATATTTAAATAAGAACTGTTTGTAGTAGTACAATTGTAGTGTATAATAAAAATAGAATATTTAATAAAAAAAAAAAATAGTGCATCTGTAAAATTAGTGTTAATAATTCCATCCTAATTTCTTCATTTTCAAATGCTAAGCCATCAAACTTTTATTTTGATATTTATATGCACTGCAGGTTTTAGAGTGAAGCACAGCACTGTGTTTATTTACACTCAAGCAGCTCATGATAAAGTGTTTTAGCATCTTAGAGGGGCTTGGTTAACGGTAAATAAACAGTGCAGCGCTTCACTCTGAAACCTGCAGTGGTTATAATTATTTAATTAAATCACAGCATGCATGATTTAATAATTGTGATCGATCTAAGCCATATCTCGTTATTGATTTTATTTTCGTATATCCTGCAACACTAAGAAACAATAAGAAAAAAATAGGACCAGACTTTGTTCTGTCCATTGCGAATGCACTTAATCAAGAATAGTGTCCAGAGTGGAACCAGTTTGGAAGAATAGGGTTAAAAAAAAGAGGTCTTGGTGATGTCATCCAAACTAAAAAATTTATTTAGAGACTGAGCAAGTTATTATAGTTTGATGGTTATTAACTACGGAATAATAAATACTGGCAAATATGACCAGGAATGTGATCTACAATTAGTATTATAATTTTTATTTTAGTTCACTTAACCAGCTTTTCCTGCTAACAGAATTATAAACCCAATTGTTCAGAATTATATCCGCCATTTTTAGTTACAGTACAGCACCCACGGCAGAAGTGTGTCTGCCGTCCCCTCTCACCTGTGTAGAGTCTTGCTTTGTTTTTATCTGTTCCTGACTGCCTCTGAGCTGTTGACCCTCTCCAGTGCTCAGGTGCTCTGTGGCACAGCGACACTGGCAGTTATACAGAGAGAGAGAGGGGGGGGGAGGAAATGTAATGGCCTGTGAGAAAGATAGGAAAACAGCAGCTATACGGAGAGAGAGAGAGAGAGGGAGGGAGGGAGAGAGAGAGAGAGAGAGAGAGAGAGAGAGAGAGAGAGAGAGGCCTCACTGACGTTTCCCTGCTGCATATGCAGCTGATAGTATCTGGCAGGGCCTGGCTCTCTGGGGAGCCCTGTAATCTGTTCCATCAGCGTTTACTACCGAACAAATTAACTAAGACAAGCACCGCCGCCTGAGCCAGCAGAATTCTTCCATTAGGAAAATTATAAAGCTATTATGGGGAACAATTTGGTACTTTATATAAACGACTCTCTTTGGAGGGCTACAGGGCTTCCTTGAACTACACCAGGGGGGTTGGATGGAATACCCCAGGGGGCATTAGCACTATTGATACCAATAGAAAGAAAAATCATGCTCTTTAATATCTCAAACCTTTCTCTTTGACAGCAGCAAGATTAAATGGAGAGTTTTTATTAAGTCTCTGAGAAGAAAAGACCCTAGGAAACTTGTGAGTTTCAAGCGAGACAGTCTCAAACTGTGCTCAAAAGATCTCTGTATAAATTAAAAAATGTATATGATTCTTCAGAAACCAAATAATCTGCTCTATTATATGCACATTAATTTTACAGCCTTATACTGTTTCTGTGTGTCAACAGTTGTCGTAGACCTTTTCCGCAAGGAATTTGAAAAACATCTGAGACTGCTAAACTTTATTATATATTATGATTCATATTCACTGCAATTGTGGATGCTCAACCTTAAAAATCACATTGTAGTATTTTAACAAACCTTTTTCCCAAGGACCTTTAGGAGAAACATCGGAGATGAAGTTGATACTTCAATGAAGTACCTTCTTAAGCCACGAAAGCGCAGCCTTTGCTGTATTATGATTCATACTTGCTGAAGTTCTGGCTTCACAACCTAAAAAAAATCACATTATAGTGTAAGACAAGAATATATATCATGATTGCATTCACAAATCAGTTCTGAAGTTGACATTTTGAATCCAACTCAGTCGTTTAGTTTAAATTATGAATCAAATCAACAGATTCTTTTCAATGAGCCCTTGATCCTGTTCACAGTTCAGAATGATTTATTCACAGATGGGTTCCTAAGTTGAATGTGCAATTTTTTGGTGTATTATGATTCATATTTCTTGTCATTTTCACTGGCTTTAGCAATCAGTTCTGAAGTTGACATTTTGAATCCACCTCAGTCGTTTAGTTGAAATTGTGAATCGAATCAACAGGTTCTTTTCTTTGAAAACTTTGATCTGGTTCACAGTTTAAAATGATTCATTCACATATGGTTTCCTAAGTTAAAAGTGCAACCTTTCCTGTATTATGATTCATATTTTCTGTAATTTTGGCTGCACGACCATAAAAATCGCATTATGGTTTAAGACAAGTATATATATATATATATATATATATATATATATATCATGATTACGTAGAGGTAATGTATATAGGCTACCCTTAATAATGCTCATGTCAGTGCATTGTTAGAGTAAACGCATTATGTCACAGTTTATTTCCGTCACGGTCTCACCGCTTGTATTAATAACAAGCCATTTAGGAGGACCAGAACCATAGCCCACTTAAATAGCATGACATTTTTATCTAAAACATGTCCCATTGACCCAGAAACCAGTGATCCACACCCATCTTTAGGGAAGGAATTTTTAAACCAGATTTGTCCCTGGAGATCAGCCCTCGTGCTTTTACCTTGCCAGACTAGCCGAACGACGCTCCGTCGGAGTGTTTTGCGGAGCCATGTGTCTTCCTGTGTGGAAGGAGGAGGTGATAATAACAGAGGAGAGTAAAACTAGGGTGAGACTGTGGTGACTCAGCCCCCCAGTTGTTGTGTTGGAGGTTTGGGGAGTCTGGTGCAAAGAGTTTCAGCCTAATTAAGTTGATTTGTTCCCAGCATCTGGCTCCCAGATGTCAGACGATATTCTTTAGCTCAGCTCCCTGCTGTTGAGAGGAGAAGAGTGGGACGGCAGGGACCGCAGACTGCTGACTTTTCACGAGGCCCACCGGGGGTGGGACTGCAGCGCGCTGTGGGTGACTGACGGATGCGGCGGCCAATCGCGGTGTGTTTGTCGCAACTTTCCTGGGAATCTGATTGGCTAGTCAGAGCAAGAGGTTTATAGCCACAGTATGCCTGCAGGTGCAAACCGAGCAGTATTCCCACACCTTATAAAACACGTGTTTCCTGCAAAATAGACGTGATGTGTGGCGAGAAGGTTCTGTTGTATTGTTTTTACAGCTTTCGGTTTTGGCGAACACGATTGGTCTGAGGTCGATGACTCTGCTTGTGGACAAAAAAAAGCTGTTGCTAACCTCTTCATACAGTGGTGCCAAGTTCATAATTCGGACTGAATGATTAATTTTTGAATCAGTTCTTAAGTTGACTCACTGAATCGTTTAGTCAAATTGTGAATCAAATCAACTGGTTCTTTTCAGTGAATTAGTTGATTTGATTCACAATTAAGACTGAGCAGTTCACTCACAAATCAGTTCCTATGTTGACTTTTGGAACCAATTTACTGACACTTTTAGTTCGAATTGTGAATCAAATCAACTGGTTCTTTTCAGTGAATCAGTTGTTTTGTTTTTCAATTCAAACTGATCTATTCATTCACAAATCGATTCTTAAAGTGACATTTTGAATCCAACTCACTGAAACTTTTAACTCAAATTGTAAATTTAATCAACCGCTTCTTTGCAGTGAATCAGTTGATTTGATTCACAATTCATTGATCAAACTGAGCAATTCATTCACTTATCTGTTTTTAAGCTGACATTTTGAATCCAACTCACTAAATCAAATCAACTGGTTCTTGTCAGTGCTTCATAATTGAAAGAAATGGTTCATTTCTGATTCACAATTAAAATTGAAGAAATCATTCATGAATTGGTTCTTAAGTTGACATTTTGAATCCAACTTGATTTATTCAGTCCGATTTGGATAAGCTGGTTCTTTTCAATGATCCTTCAGTGCTTTTCAGTGGTTGTTGGAACAAAGTTGGCACGAGTAAATAACAGGAAAATTATCATTTGACTTTTTTCCTTTCAAATCTGATGGTCACATGGAAGACAAATCGGTTCTGATAATCCAAAAACTGAAATAATTGCAAATTCTGTCAATCCAAGGTTGATATTTACTCACTTTTTTAACGACTCGCTGATGTCATGTCATTTATTTACCAAAACCGTTACTCTGGAACCTCATCTGAATCGTTTCCCTTATTTGTCCACAGAAAGAACTGGATGCCACCGCCGCAGCCCTGGCCAACAGACAGGATGAAAGCGAGCAGTCCAGGAAAAAACTCATTGACCAAAGCCGCGAGTTCAAGAAGGATACTCCAGAGGTGAGCAAAAGCGAGAAATGGAGTGAGAGACGATTTTCCAAATGATAGGAAGCTCAAAGGTAGTGGAGCGAAGGAGAATTTGAGCACCTAATTGTCATATGTCTGGACCGGCACATCCTGGTCTCATGGGTACCTGTGAAGCACCATGTTTCAGCAATTCAAATCAGTTGAATTTCTCCTGCTTGCGTTCTGCCTCCATTTTGACTGCTTACAGGATTTTAAACATGCACCCTGTAGAGTTGCGTTCTTGTTATTACGATTGTTCCACTTGAGTTCTAGATCATGGCCGCGCCGTTAGATTATTTTTCTGATTTTGCACTTGTCTGAAGCTCGGCATGGCCTTGTAAGAGAGGTCGGTAGCAGAGAAACCAGAGGATATTATGGTTTATCCATTTAGGGAATACTTGGTCTGCATGAATAGCGTGGACGGTCGTGTCCAGACCATAGGGTTGTCTGTGAGGTCATCTTCCAGGGGAAAAACCGACGATGCATGTTAGCAAGACAGTAAGGATCAGTGATTCTTTATTTACTGAAAACCGTCTCTGATCTGATAGAGTTCTGAAACAAACGTGTCCTGACAGTAGGAGAACCTCACGACCATTTGATCAGGATGGTTATCAGATGTTTGTTCTGTTTTGAAACAGAAAGATTATTCTTAATGTGTGGACATGATAATGTTCATAGACTCTTGTTTTCATACTATAGTATTTACAGACTCTAAATCTTTAATACCATGGAGCGTTAGTTTTCGCTCGCATATCGATGCATGACATTTTTAACGCATTTATCGATTTTGACTCTTTCATTATGAAATTTATTTGTAAATCAAATCCAGGTAAGATGTAAGAGCAGAATTTAGAATGATTTGCCTTTTTTAACAAATATTTTTATATATTATTTATATATATTTACATTTTATTAATATACATGTTAATATTAAGTAATTTTCTTTTATAAATTTCAACTGATTTAATAAAATAATAATAATAAGAAAACAATATATAATATAATTTAACTATAAAATAAAATAATATAAATGAATAAATTATAAATTAATAACTATAAATGTACATTGTTTCATACAAATCTCATATAGATTCTATATGCTACTTTAATGTTGTTTTCGTTCCTTAAAAAAATAACTGAATGTGTTAACATGTTAATTAAATAAATGGAAATTAATTTAGAATTACTGAATTATCTGTTTATACCTGAGGCTGTTTATTTGTTTGCTGTTTATTTGTCTCGATTTAGTATCGCGCTGAAGTCAATTGATAATGGGTCAGAACAGTGCAAGATTTAGTAATCAAGGCAAAGAAGTAAGAGAAAGAGACATCAGACAGCTGTCAGAAGACATCTGGAGTTCAAAATAACCTTGGGCTTTTCTTTTAGTCTTTGATTTATAATATCCTTATCAGCATAAGAGTGCTTTTGTGAAAATTTCAGACAGGTGCCTCCAATCCTCCAAACAGCAAATCCGTATAATTCCTCGCCATGTTTGGTTTTGAGAAGTCTCTGCCAACCCATCTGTAGTGTGGAGAACTCAAGGGCACCGTGGTGCTCTGGCCAGTGATATCTTTGATCACGGTTGCCGTCGCCTCCTGCCCTCCTCCCTCTCGCTCCCTCTTTCCTGCCTCTCGTTTCGTGAATTCCTCGAGAGTTACCACTCCCAGAGAGTGCCGATGAATAAACGGAAAATAAAAAACCTGTTTTGTCTCCGGAGCCTCAATAAATCAGTCCCCCTTTTCCATTTAAAATGTCCTGGGCTGCAATTTATGTCTGAGCTTAATAACCCGTTACTAAATTAATCGTGCTGGGGGTTTTGGCTGGGAGGCCACGCGTTCGGAGATTCTGTGAACCCTGTGAAAGAAAAAAAAAAAAGTCAGTCCGAGTGCTTTTCTGCCCGGTGCCCAAGGTGCAAGACATCAAGGGCCTCAGTCAGAGAGGTGGAAATTCTATCTCTGATGAGGGAAGCTGGAAATTTACCTTAATGACTGGGCTACTGGATGTGGAATTAATGTGCTATGGCTACCTTACTGTACCATTCCTTTAGACACAGGGCAAGCCGTAGTCTAACCTCAGTGGACTTTGTTGTGTCAGCAGTTTTTATGTTAATTTGGGATGTTTGTGCTTAATTTACTCAGAAATTTGCATCAAGTTCCTCTAGCTAAAGGAGCAAAAAAAAAAAACTAAACTTTCTTGACAAAAAAACTGAAGAGTTTTTGAGTATAATAATGCTTCATAATGACAAAAAAAAGCACAATTCAAGTATCATAAATGCCTTCCAAAACTATTCAATTCAAATGTTGATGCATTGATGTGTAACATTTGTGAAATATATTAATAATAATACAATATAATATAATGAAAATTTTTAAAAATACAGTATTTTGTATTTTGCCACACAAGTATATACACTAAGGGTGCGTTCACACTTGGCATGTTTGGTTCGATTAAAACGAACCCTGGTGCGATTGCTCTGTTAGTGCTGTTCATTTGAGCATGTCTGAACGCTGCCATCCGAGCCCTGGTGCGCACCAAACAAGCGGACCGAGACCGCTGAAAAGATGGGTCTCGGTCCGCTTCCAAACGAACTCTGGTGTGGTTTCGAATTATATATGAACGCAACACGGACCAAATACTTCTAAACGAACCAAAAACAGGAAGGAATGACGAGATGCAATGCAACGCTATGTGACATGATTTGAAGACGCGGTGTAACCAAAACAAAATGAGCAGAGGGCAAACGTGGAGCAGCGCCGCTTTAAGTCAATGCACCTTTTGTTTGGGGTGTTCGGTGAGTACCGTCACGATATATATACGTCATTCAAGCTGACCAGTCAGGTTGTGAACGTATCACTATGCCTTTAGGTTCGGTGTCAAAAATGCCAATGTGAACGCTTAGCGGACCAGGACCAAATGTATAATTTTCCTTTTTGGTCCAGACCAAATGAACCAAACTACAAGTGTGAACACACCTTAAGTGTGTCATCCAAATGAATATCATTTTAATATCATCTTTTTAATATCATTTCATTTTTGTTCCTTGAAAAGAAACTGAATTTTATCAGAAAATTAGGATATTGTTGCTGAATATCATAAAATCAATATTTGTAACATAAGTAAATGATTACTGGGGATTTAAAGCTACAGAATGACAAAAGTTTAATAATTATAGTCCGAAACTGCTTGTGTGCAAACTCTTCTGAGGCCATATGACTCCTTGATGTGAGAAACCGACTGAAATGAATTGTTCATGAATTGGATTTTTTTATCCTTTTTTCTTTTATTTTGATACTTTATGGTGCTTTTGTGTCCTTTTTGAAGCTTGAAACTTCCAGTCCCTAGAAAAGAGTGACCAGTATGTTATTTAAAATTTCTTCTTTTGTACTCCACTGAAAACAGGAAATCATACAGGTTTGGAAAGACATGAGGAAATAATTACACAATTTTCATGTTTGGATGAACTGTCCCTTTAAAGTTTTCAGAACTTGTCTGTATATATTTAGACTGATGAATTGCCATTTTTGTTTCTCTGTCTCTCCATATCCGTTTCCATTTTCAGTCCACTAATGTTGCACTGTTGTTGTTTAATTGTTATTGACTAGTTATTTATGTAGCTCCTTCATGGTTCTGCTTCGCCTCAGGATGCAGGTTGAAACGTTTATTGTCCGCTATGTGATGTCAATGTGACAGATAGGGATTTGTTAGGATGACCCGTTATTTTCCAGCCGATTACATAACGTCTGTGTTTTCCTCGCCATGCACCTGTGAAATAAATAATCCTAAGCAGCCGTTAAATTTGCCACAGATCACTTCATTTTGTCTTTTTTCATAAATATTTAACCCAAACAACCGCCACATTTGGCCCTATTTTCGTTTAGCTTTTGCGTGCTCATTTAGATGGAGTTTTAAATAGGATGTGATGGAGACTGAAAGAGACCAGTGTGTCGGCGCTGAAATTATATTCAGAGCTGCCTGCATGATGGAAATATTTTCATAAGGTCATGTGCATTCCCTCCCCTCTAGCTCACATATTTTGAGTTTAT